CCATATAATTGCCATACAAATAAGGTTTCTGCATGATGTTGTCTGTATAGCATGCACCTAAACTGCAAAATTTCAGCATGGGTTACTCAGGTTTTTTTTTAATGATCCATAATCATGCCAATGGTTCCGGAATAGGAAATCCCCAAGCTCATACAAGCGTGATGGTCAGGTGTCCACAAATTTTGGCCATAAAAACTTTAGCAGGAACTCCACTCCACTTGTAGATATCCTCACAGCATTGGAACACAGCAGTGGAAAGCACTCTTGCCCTTAATTTTGTGAATGCGAGGAGTTCCGACCCAGGCCCTCAATATTGAGGTTTCTTGCCAGCACAGAGACATGAATAAGTTGTTTCACAAAAGTTTATTCCTGGACTGGAGCTACTCTTCCATGTAAAAGGTTTTATAATATTTAGTTGGAAATAAGGGTTGATTTACTAAAACGAGTACAGGCAAAGAGAATTTCCACATTGCAAGGGAATTTTCCATTAGCTTAGTGAACAAGATAAGGATCTGCTGACCTTCATTATCCAATCATGTGCAAGTAATCCATTTTTTAGAAAATTTGCATGCGATTGGGTATTCTTTGCAAAGTGAATTTCCACCAATTTACTAAGCTAAGTGGAAATTGGTGAACATGCTCTATGCCCTAAACCATCCCCAATGTGTGAAAACAGCGCTTATGTTATTTTACCTCCCCCATACTCTCAGGTACCAACAAATGCTGTTTAATGCTTGCTCGCCCTGAATAAGCTGATTAACTGGCTCCACCTGAGCACCCTTAGAGGAGAAAATAAGACCCGCCACCAGAGGAAGGCAGGAGCAGCGTTTTTTCAAGGACAGGCAAGTATGAAATGTCTGTAAGTACCCAATATACAAGGCAGCAAAGAAAGTAAAATAACAAAGCCTAAATATTAAATGATAGTTGCACTGCAATATGCTGACACCACTAAGCCTTCTAAACCACAGAGGTGGGAGTAATCGGCACCCCACTTTCAGTAGAGGTAGTTTCCACCCTGGGAGATATTGTACTTGCGGCACAAGCTAAATATTGTAGGTTTCCTTTGTGCTCCAGGATCAGTTTAATAGACCTCACCATTTGCATAATGCTTGCTCATCACCTGCTTAGTAAGTAGGGCAAGTCTTTGAAAAGGCCGTAAATGTAAACGCACACTTCCAGTGCTAGTAGACACATATCATGATGAGAGATTTTAAAGGATACTTGCTGATATCTGACTATCTTTAATTTCTTTCCTCACAAATGTGTTCTTCATCATTTGCCAATCAGCCTCTACAAAACTTAACTTAATCACCTGCAAGTAAAGTCAGCTACCGATGCCGAGGTAAGCTGGTCGTAGCAAACTACAGTCTAATAAACGATTGGGACAATATGGACTTCCTGTTTGATATGGCTAAAAGACAAGATTATCAAAAAGTTCACAATTAAACCTGCCAATATATTAAAATAGTAAAGCACTCACTCTTAAAGTAACACTCAAATCAGGAGTTAAATCTTAAAAATACATCCAAGTACCTTAGAGAACTATGGGGTTAAGGCTTTTCCCCATAGTTCTCCTTAGGGTAACGGGAGGACACAAACTAGCGTCCTCCCATCACCCTAGGCTCAGTATACCGCGAGCTGTAGCTCGCGGTATACTGAGATGCCGCAGTATACCGCGAGCAGCCACTGAGACGCCGCAGCAGAAGCGTATACCGACAATTATGCCGGGATCCGCCCACCTGCGTGACTCAGAGATGATTTGAGGACCTACATTTTTGTTAATAGTTAAGGTACTTGAATGTGTTTTTAAGTTTTAACTCCTGGGTTTAGTGTTCCTTTAAGAGCAGAAAGCTTACAATGTCTGCACATACCTTTTGCTCTCATAAAGGCAAAAACGTCATAATTCAGCTTACCAATCCTTAAATGTGGTGGCTGCTTTAGGCTGGGCACACACCTTACAACCATCGCAAGACTTCTGTCTTGCGATGGTTGTAAGGTACTTTAAAAAAAACGTACGATCTGCCTATGTTGCATAGGCAGATCGTACTTGCGATGATCGCAAGCCACGCCCCGAGGGGCGGGCTTCCGATGACCGCAATGCCGAACGGGCAGTGTGCGCTTGCGCACACCGTCCCGTACGGCTGTTATCGTACGAACATGTCCGTAAGTTTAAAGTCATGCGACCTTACAGTAGTAGAGGTCGCACGGCTTCCACGCACCTTACGATCATCGTACGATCGCGGGATTTCCCGCAATTATCGTACGATAATCGTAAGGTGTGTGGGGACCCTTACTTTTCTTTTTTAGGTTTTTCGAATCTTTATTTTCACCTGGTGACCCAGACAAAAATACACTTCCAGACTTGTGGTGACTCCACTCTATGGAGGAGCAATGGAACCACCTTTGGAAAGCAGATTTGTCACCCTGTGGCGAGGGTAGTGTTAGATAGACTAGTAGATTAAGAAAAGTCTGATCGCCATCTATCACTGTTTAAGAAGTTACAGCAACAGTTTTTGGGTTAAAGGTTTTATATAACTAAACAAAAGCTGACCATTGCAAGCACCCCTGTCAGTGTTAAATGGTTTGTCTCAACTCTCTACATGCCACTTTTGCTGGACAGCTTGGCCTGTTAAAGGAAGTTGGAAAAATAGACTTACTGGTTGGATCACCAGGTGCACATGAAGGCAAAAAAGCTTAAAAAGTAAAAATAGGCATTCACCACATTAAAAGATTGGTAAGCTGCAATATATTAAAATGTTTACTTACGAGTTTCGATATGCTTTAAAAAAGTGCTGGGTGCCTCCCGAACCCAACGTGCTCAATATGCAACTACATTTGGCTTGCAATATTGGTGCCAAGGAGTCTCTGTAATGGTTAAAAAAGAACCCTGCTAAAGTATACCAGATGTGGGGTAGTAGCAGAACCCCGACTTTAGAATAGCAATTGGCAGATGCATACTGATCATTCGAAGGAGCGCCCAGAGATATAATAGGAGGCTTTAGGTGCCTGCTATTAAGGCCCTGTACACACCAGGGCGGTTGTGGATCAGCGCGGTTTCCGCACGGATTTTAAAAGGATGGTTTTGGGCGTTTTTAATTGCGTTTTAGCGCTGAAACGCAATTAGAAATGCCCGAAACCACACTGATCAGCGCAGTTCATTGAAATCTATATGGAAACCGCGTTGATCAGCGCGGAAAAAAAGGGTCAGGGAGCATTTTGGACGGCATTGGTTCTGATCGCGCGGTTGCATGAACGGTCCCCATAGCAATGAGATCGTTCATGTCGGGGGTTCAGCGCGGCCAAAACTGCACGGCCGAAATGCCCTGGGGTGAACGGGGCCTAAGTGTTAGTGACAGATTTTTATTTGTTTGTTTATATTGACAGGTTTGCTATAAAGAAACGTTTTGTTTGTTTTTTTTATTTGCAACCTTTTATAAAGTGGTATTTTATTATAAAATGATCCACTTGATGGAAGAACATGACACTGGGGCAAATGTATGAAATGGCTGGACTTTAAACAGATACAGCCAACCAAAAAGAGGTACATATGAATTGTTCATAACTGCCTACTTCCATCCAATGTTCCTTTAGGGCAGCCATGAGCTGGAGTGATGCATTTTCAGCACGAAGGACAAATCGGGTGACACTTCCCAATTGCGCCAAAACCGCGTGCTATGAATGCCCCGCTCCATTTTAACCCGAATGCTGCAACAGGTTTAACACTCCTGCTAAAACATACACAGAGGTGTGTGGAGGAATAGTCTTTCCTACCTTCACACGATAACAGCAGCACATAAATCTGCCCCACTAATTTTGGTAGCACCAATTTATGTACAATCATTTTCCAAAAGAGAAAACAAAAAGGAGTAGTCAAGCAAGGAGTCAGAGAATTACATACGTTTTCTAAGACTCCAATATTCCTGCTGTCATTAATCAGAGGGCAGATCCCCCTTAAAGTGTCATTCCACCTTTGCAGCCAAGTTTGAGACCCCCCCCCCCCCCCCCACACCCCCCCCCCCCCCCCCCCCCCCCCCCCCCCCCCCCCCCCCCCCACCCCCCCCCCAA